TATTATTGTTTTATGCAAAGGTGCTTTGTCAATGGTAGCACTCGCTAACTGGCTCAAGGACTCCTCTCTGTGCCAATCACAACAGGCTTGGCCAGCTGATCATTCAGAGCAGAGTAGGCTTATGGAAGGGAGAGGTTTATAGACATTTCGCTCAGAACTGAATCGAACAAACTGTTTCGAAATCATGGACAAATGACTCTATGTATAAATGTATATTCTGTGTTTGCTGACCTTAGATGCATTTAAACCTGTTGTAGGGGACTCCAACACAATATTAGGACACTTTAAAAAACCATATGACCTGCTTTTTAATGGACTGGGCTGCACATGTAGGGCTGACAATTTATGGTCTGTGACCATGACAACTACATTTTTTGAGTGGCTGCTGAAACACATGGTCCATCTCCAGGGTTTTTCCTTGTACAGAAATAAACAGACATGTTGCAGTATAATTGTAGAAAACAAAAGACATTTTAAGGTCTTCTGTTTAGGATGACCGATGCTTTATGAGGTTTCATCTATGCATAGTAAAGTCAGTGGATGCTGTAAATAACTTAATTTAAAGCTGTTAACTGCTATTGACCGCATCTCAGAGAGACTCTGCTTGAGATGTATTGAGTCTTCCCATCTAAAAGACATGTGTCTGTATTCAGGTGATTTGCTTTTAAAACAGATTTCTTTCTTTCTTTCTTTTTTTTGTCATATAAATGTAACATTTTATTTGTCCTGTATTTTTTTTTACCATGACTTATCATCTTTTTTCTATTTTTTCAAGGCATTTTATGCTTAAGTATTACTTTACCCTCTTGCCAGAATTTCAAACTGAAAAGATGTAAATCACATTCATAAAAATATAAATGAGTATATTTTAAAGCATAGTATAATCTAAGTGTAAAAATAGTCCTAATTCATTCCAGTATTTACTGTGTGAAAATGATGTTTGTTAATTACTGTCAGTTAATTACCACTGCTTTACAACAGATATTTGTTGGACGTAATTCAAATTAAACGCACAAAGCAGCCACACAAACATATTTAGTAAATCTTACTGAAAATGGCAGATTAAGCAATTTATATTCTGAAATCTATTTCTAGGTTTTGTTCTGTGTGCATTAAACTACATTTAGATGTAAATGGTCCTCTTTCTGACATAAATGTAAAACACTGATTTGATTTGATTTGATTTAATTTGATTTATTTATTTATTTACAAAATAACAATTTAAAATATATTAAAACAACTACATTATGTGCATATTTACTTTTGAGTTGAAAACATTATTAATTAACAAATATTTAGTAAAATCTTTTAATCATTAGGGGGGACCAGGCCAGGCCTTTTTTTTTTTTTGAATGGCATACTTATGTTAGTCAATGAACAATGAACTGGGTTAGGAAAATGTATTACATAAAAAAAAAAAAAAACTTACAAACCTCTCTTTTAAAGCAACTGTGTGTAAGGTTTATTTTTGTTTTTCCTATTTTTTTTTTTACTTTAAGTTTCAAGATCATTCTGATTGTACACTGACTTCTAATAAGACGAATGGGAGTATATAAGTATGGTAAGCATGTATGAAATTCCACGAAAACAAATGCACGTGTATAGCTATGGCTATCCACTGTAATTATGACAGCAATATATTTACGATATTGATTTCCACTCACTTAACTGTAGGGGGCTTCAAAGTTGCAAAAATATGCTAAGCTTTATACAGTTGCTTTAATGGACAAATTAAATAAGCGAGAGTCTAAAAAATGTGTGTTTAGAAAGTCCACAGGGTCAAAAGTGCCCACAGCTGAAGAAACACCCTGATTTCATTATGCTCTCTTTATTTTATTTCCTCTCCTCACAGTAATTTACCGTCACATCTAATTGTCATATAATAATGAAGTTCTGCAATATTGAGCAGAATCTGTTCCATATTTCTTGCTCTATATGATTTGCATTCTCCTCTCCCCCTCTGAAAAATAATTACCATCACACTGCTTGTCCACCATGGCTGGCTGGGCGGCCTCCCTCTATTATGAGAATTCCCTAGTTAAATACACACAGCCAATTTAAGGGGAACTCCTTATATATTTAAGGCTAATTATTCTGAACTTAGCAGAAGGCCATCTGGAAGAGCTGTCCTCGATCTGGGAGCAGAGTCTAGCTGCACTCCTGAGACTTTTTCCGGGGTAATCGGGGCCGTCGTCAGGGGGGACAACCAACATTGTCCCAGGCCCTGTGATGATAGTCTATTCATCTTGGGCCTGTAAATTTTACCAACTATCCTGGTTTGAATTACATCTTTTTTCATTCTCACAATGCCATTAGAACACAGCAGGAAATTAGTTGTTTTCACAACCTTGACAGAGGTATTCTGGCAAGAACCAGAAGGAGAAAATGTGTGAGAGAAGGAGAGCGTTGGAGAAAGATGAATGGAACATTTGGGGCGACTGGGAACACCCAAAGTGTTATATCCTGTTAAAAGCACTGCCCTGTACAGGTTGATTCATGTGGTAGCTTCTCAGAGACACGTCTGGTCCCCGTCCAATTACTATTCCAAAATACGTCAGGGGACCGGATTGCCACAAGTGACTACCACACTGACTCAGAGACACCTGTCTTCTGGGCGACTGTGTCAGGTGTCTCAGATCTCTGGATTGATATAATGGGCGAGAGAGATGGTAAGAGCAGGGTTATGGATAACTAGGTCACATTGGACCTGTGCTTTATTTTACCTCCTATCTTACAGGAAAAGTGCAACCTACACCTGCAGCCCGGATTCAGTGAACATCACCCTCAGGGCCGAGCAGCAAATCCAGAACATGCATGATGATTTATTCATTGCAGATCTGATTACCTTTTGCAACTGCAAACTGCACCAAAAGAACAATAGCTTGAAAAACTTTGTGAAACAGGGGAAACAGTCCAAATGTCGAGCTGAGATGTCTGTACGTCCCATAGAAGAGACTAACAAATGGTCATATTTTGGTTGTATAATGAGTCTTTTATGTTAAACAAAAAAACAAAGCTTTGTACAAAGCGAGATTTAGTTTAGAGGTCTAAAAGTTTTCTGACATTTGTGTCAAATTGTGTCCAGTAAATGAATGGTGTGGGTGGACAACATAAACTCTGCAAATATTAGCTTATTTTTGTGCCCAAAGATCAAATGTTCACATCGAAGTTGGTTCATGGGTCAGAGATTAAATTTCAAATTTAATAACTTAATGCACTTTATCTTGAATAAATAGGAATGTTTTTAAATGAATTATTAAAATCACAATATTACGTGTCATTTAAAATATTATATATTTATTTAATACACTAAAACTAATAATTTAATATTTTGATCATTTATAACACAATTATTTTTAAGAAATACAAATGAAAAAGGGTTTTTTTTTCAGTCATTGTTTTCTATAACATTGTAATTTCTGGAATTTATGGTCATGGAAATTTGCAATGCAAAATATGTGTTCAAAAAGAACATTAATAAAAGTTTTCAATGTTATCTACAAAGCTTTCTGTAAAAAAAACAAAACAAAAAAAAAACAAGTTAGTGTCCATGCAATTTGGGCTCATCAGGAGATGTAATTGTCTCATCTCTCTGCTTGTTAACTTTGTCTCACCTGGGGATTTCCATTGAATGCTAACAATGGAAATATGCAATAACTTCATTTTCCTATCAAGATTACAATAACAGCTGAGCTCATGTTAATTGTCTTTGGGTGTAAGTCTTTGCCAGGAATGCTGGAAGCGATTGAGAATTTTTGATGTAATGAAAAAACCATTAAAATTCAACAAAGTTACTGTATCTTGGCAGTTTTATTTCTGGGAAATATGCCTTTTTTTATTTTAATCCATAGTGTCTTTTTTCAACAATGAACTTTTTTGTGGTCTTTGTAGATACAAAGTGAGAAAAGTCAAAGAGTTTGTCATTTTTTATTGTTTTATTTAATTTTTTTATTGTCATCCCTCTAGTGTTAGTGGAGCAGAACTAGATGTAGTTCCTCAGTAAACCATGCAGTATAAAACAAGAAAGATGTCAGTGTCAGCTGACAAGGGCAATATACCAGAGGGAACAACAAATAATTATTCAAACAACATTAAACACAATGACAAATAAAATGCTAAATGTATAATGTTGTGAAGCAGAGTCTCTTTGGACAGGCATTGAGTGGTCTTCTTCTGGATTGGAAAATAAATGATAAAACCAAAAAAAAAAAAAAATCATTATAGGAAATGCTTACTTTTGCTTTTGCATTTCCGTTAATATTAACTTTTTCACACCAAGTTTGTGGTAATTTCATTTTAAATGGAGGAATTGGCCAAAAAGTTGTGAACATTTTTGTGAACAATGCTAAGCTCCGTATGGCTGCTATTTGACACTTTTACCATGAGAATTTGGGTATTTGGCACAAAGAATGAGAACTGAGAACACAGAGGAGTCATGCAAATTCTCTTGTACAGATGTCATCATGAGAAACAATAACCATCTGTTTAGTGCTACTGATTTAATTAATTCATTAATAAATACACTGGATACTTAAATCTGAACTGTTTAAAATATGGACCCCAAAGACATGATATATCCCTCATTTTGTGTTACGGTCATTTTGACCTCGAGAGGATTTTCTGTTGGTGGTGAAAAATGACTACAAAAAAATTGCTTATACATTTCTTGTCATGCTCTATTATTACCAAGTATTGGATTCAATCTTGTTTTGGTTCAATTAGCACAGGTTTTGTATTTCTTTTTGGAACTGATTGATCATAGTTCTCATTGATGTGATCTTATGCAAATCAGTTTTTGAGGAAATCCTGCCAAAATTATTCACAAATATATATATATATATATATATATATATATATTTGTTTTTTTGTTTTGTTTTTTTTTTTTACTCAAAAACTGAAGTGCATAAGCTCAGATCAATATGGCCTACAAACAATAAGTTTTAATCCAAAATGTTAATATCATAATGAGATATATACATATGTATTAGTATATATGTGTGTGTCTTGAGCATAGTAAGGGAGCTTTATTACAAGTCATATATTTCAGCAGGTACTGTCACCTTGTGTCCTATTATGCCAGTGGTCAATATATGATGTATTAGCTCAAGTTAAATGCATAACTAACTTTACATTCGCCCTCCATTTAACATTGCTCTTTATGTTTTCCATTTTCCTCCTCCTCGTCTGGCACCCGGTGTTTGCTTTCTTGATAGGCCTGTAAAATATGCTAATTGAATAAGGGAAATGTTCCCAGCATGTTAAGGGCTCGCTTTGCAGCTCTGCTTTCATTAGGGATTATGAATGCTGTATTTGAAGGTTTCTAAACCAATTTGTTTGAATAAAAAAAGGAAGTTTAATAATCTGTATCACAACATATATCGAATCCTGAGGCTAGATGTGGCATTTAAAAGATGAGCAGCCAGAGTCAACAGTCAGGAGGATACACGGTATATAAATACATAGCTTCATCCATGACCTGATAGTTCAAGTAGGAGGATATTCTAAACCAACTTCTCTGGGATATTTCATTAAATCTAGGATAACATTTTAAACCATTGCAATGAGGGTTAATCTTGAATTCTGCAGGGGAATGTACTATTACACTTTCCATATGGTATACAAGCCAAGAGTTTAATGCAAATCTTCGCTGTTGTTTTTTTTCTGTGGTTTATAATTTATTCCTACAGAATAATCAGATGCAACTTTTCCCTATACTGTGCTGCGAAGTCAAACTCACCAAATTAAACGAAACATTTTGCTAACAATTATGCAAATGCTATTCAAGAAACAACTGCAAACAAGCCATTGTGTTTCATATTTTGTCTCCATGTTTTGAACTTCAAGTTTTGAATATGACAGTCAATGACAGAAAGAGGCACTGAATATAGTGTAATGAAAAGCAGTTGCCAAAGTCACCAGTAGGCCTGTATTTAACATAAATAATAGGGCTACTGGCTTAATTTACATTTATGCTTGCCTTTTTCCTTCAAAATCCAATCTGAATCACAGCAGTGTTGATGTTCAGAGTCAGACCACCAGCATGCTTGCGAGTGATATCAATTTTATATAACAGTTATATAAACAAGACTTTTAATTTTGAGAAACAATATTGCCAGTTGCTTTGTCTACTTTTCTTCCGCCAATGAAAAAAGTTCCAAACAAACTCATAACACTGCACGTCTACGTGCAGCACACAATAGTGTAGAGAGTATCTCTGCATCCCAATGTTCTTACTATTCATTCTTAATAGTATGTAAGATTAGAATAAGAGTGTCCCAATTAGTATGTTGAAAAGAGTATGCCAAAAGTCCCCAGATGGTCTACTATTTCAGGTAGATTTTTGAAGTGTGGATCAGTGCACACTCTAATGGCTAATATTGCCTACAATCCATTGCGCTTTGGCGAAGGATTCATTTCAGAACTACAAACACGAATAAAAAGCGTAAAAAAAAACTACAAACATGGCAGATGTGCGCGACCAAGAGGTTTAGATAAAGGGGTTTGAGTTACTAACAATCAATATTTAAATATTATATATTATATTTATCTGTGCTATATTTCATCTGCAACAACAATGTGAACTTTTATAAACATCTGTTTGGCCATTAACTTTTAAATGCATCATTATGCAAAACAAATATGAACACAGTTTTCCGCATAAAGACCCACGGCTGGCAGATCAACTTGCTACTTCTTTTCTCTCCAATATGGTAGGAAGTTAAATTACATGAAATGTGGAGGATGTTAACTGTGATGATAAGATTGACAGGCCAGTTTACAATTACAGTAACTATGCGACAGAGTGGTCTGTTAAAGACTCAATTTTATGACATGATAGTATGTCCCAAAGCTTGAGAACTTTTCTACTATACACTAAAAAGTATGTACTTTTTCCTCACCTAAAGAGTACATACTTTCAGAGCATAGTATAAGGGGGCACACTGGGACACGGCATCAGTGTTTTTGAAGGAACCAATTCAGTTGCGTGAATGATTCAAACGCAATCAATTGTTTCGCTACTGAATGAATCAAGGAGTCGCTTGAATTAATGTTTCAATGCCTCACTTCACTCATACACAGTCACTTTCACCACCAACTGGTGTAATTATATAATTAGCCAAAATAAAATAGCACATTCAATTTGATACACTTTGGCTAACCCATCCACAATAAAAACTGTTTTTGAAGTCTGAATGAACAATGTGATTTGAAACATCATCTCACTGTGTTCAAAAGTGTAAGTTATTTTAATGTTTTTGAAACAAGTCTTTTATCCTCACTAAAGCTGCATTTATTTGATCAAAAATGCAGTAAAACAGTTATATTGTGAAGTATTATTCAATTCAATTCAAGTTTATTTGTATAGTGCTTTTCACGATGCAAATCATTGCAAAGCAGCTTTACAGAAAATTAAAGATTCTACATTATATTTAGTAATAGCTTATCAGTGGTGACTATCTCAAGTTGATGTCCATTATAGCAAAATTTGGTAGTTTTGTATGTTGTCTGAGGGTTGGCATCATCTGAGGTCCTCTGGGGGGTTGGCATCATCTCTTCTCAGGTGTTGGGTCATTTGAGGTCTTTGTAAGGGCTGGATCCAGACAGAAGCTTGTGTAATTCCTAGTTACCACGGGATGCCAATCCCGTGGCAGAAACAGAGAAGGTAATAGAGAAAAATTAGCGTAGCTGCTGTTCCAACTAAGCAAAAAATTATGTGAGTGTGATGGATTGTAGCGTGACAGAAGACTTGTCAGGTACGCAGGAGCTAACCCATTTAAGGCCTTAAAAGTAAGTAGTAATATTTTGTAATTGATACGGAACTTAATAGGTAGCCAGTGCAGAGAATGTAAAATTGGGGTAATATGATCATATTTTCTTGACCTGGTAAGGAGCTGCATTTTGGACTACCTGTAGCTTGTTTATTGAAGATGCAGGACAACCACCTAGCAGTGCATTACAATAGTCCAGTCTAGAGGTCATGAATGCATGAACTAGCTATTCTGCATCAGAGACAGGTAACGTTTCGTAGCTTGGCAATGTTTCTAAGATGGAAGAATGCTGTTTTTGTAACATGGGAAATATGATTTTCAAAAGACAAGTTGATGTCTAATATATAACACCCACATTTTTGACTGTAGAGGAAGTAACAATACATCCGTCTAGATGCACATTGTAATCTACTAGATTCTGTGTACTGTCTTTTGGTCCAATAAGTAATATCTCGGTCTTAATCGGATTTAATAGGAGAAAATTATTGACACAAAGTAGAACTATAAGTATTATTAAAGTTTAAAATAACTGTTTTCTATTTTTATATATTTTAAAATGTAATTTAAATTTAGCTGAATTGTCAGCATACATTACTCCAGTCTTCAGTGTCACGTGATCCTTCACAAATCATTATAATCATTCAAAGATGTCACTATAAACATCTTTATTGTCACTTTTGATAATTTTAATGCATCCTTGCTGAATAAAAGTATTAATTTCTTTTAAAAATGTTTCTGAACAGTAGTGCATGTTTGCCACATGGTGTTTTTAATCTCTCGTTTGCATAAAGTTCAACATTTACCAATTGTCAGTACTCTCGCTCCGCTCAGCTGTCAATCCCACAATCCCCTCTGCACGCCTGCCTCTCAGCTCCAGTAGAGAAGGATTCGAACAGGCCCGTTCATCTCAACACCAGGGTACATATAAGCCTTCCTCCTCATCACAACAGCAGAAAAACAACACCCCAAGTTTCGAAGTGTTAAACATCTCTTTATGCACAGCTCCAAAATGTTTTGGGCATTCTGCAATTATCCTTTTTTCATAGGCATCCTGAGTTTTGAAAAATTACGTTAACCTGCCGCCATCACATCCATGACTGTGACAGCATTTGGATTGTTTGGCTCTTGCCAAACTGAAAGCTACTACAGCACTACAGATCACAGGTCAGTTAAAGATGATCCGATTCCTCTCACCAGCCTGTCAGTTCTTCCAGCTTCCCTACAGGGAGACGTGACAGATCTGTATTCTCAAAGACCAGTGAATTTGAGAGCAGTTTCTTCTCCAGTGCAGGCAGAGCTCTTAACTCCCACTGCTAATCCCATACTATTAGCCTAGAGCTACTACTCGCTTTCCGGCGTGACTTTCTGTGCTTCTCTCTGCATGTTGTAATCTGTAGTTATATATCCTAATACTACACTGACCTGATTGGTCTACACTGCCTCATTTTAGCTGTACTATTATATATGATTGCTCTGTTTTTCTCTCACTTCATTTTCTGAACTTTTCTATCAACATTTAGGGCACTGAAATTGTATTGTGAATGTATGCACCTGTTTCTTTCTCCTACAGTTACCACCAAAGAATACCAAAGAATCATCACAGGCTCATCAAAATACGGCATATAACTCAAAGATGGCAGGACAGTCTTTTGTCTCTAATTTTGACTAAACATGCATGTTTCTTAACTGATGTGTAGATAGCATTGTTTTCTCTGACTGTTCAAAGAAATTTCTCTAAGCTAAGCTGAATACTAAGCTGAATGCTGAATGGTATGATTACAGTATATAATATATGTATATATATATATATATATATATATATATATATATATATGACAACTGAGAAAAATAGCTTGATTGAATTGTGATTGATTTAAAATAAATTTTCTCACTCCTTTCTCTGAATCTAAGCATAGCTGAACCAAACCTGTCAGTCACAGAACAGATCTTCTGATTTCAGTCTTAATTTTCACAATATTTATAGTGTTTTGCCTTTGTTGGGCAGAATGGTTTATATGGTTTATATGTCTCCATCATTTTATGTACTTTTGTTTGCAACCAGTTAATGATATCCTGGGTAGACGGCTAACTGTGAAATCTCAATAATTTCATTTCTGCTGATAAGTGTGACAGGCAGTTTAGACTCTTATCTGACATTTGAGTTGAGCAACATTGTTTTGTGTTCAGTATTTAATCAAGTGTCAGACTGAAGACTAAATCAGCTCATCTTCAGTGCTGCCGTGAGTGATCACTTCTCTGATGTGTTTATAACTCACAAACCACATGCTGCTATATTAGATGTAGAGTTTAGAGTCTGGAAGCTTTGGCTGGAGAGCTACAGTATCACCACACGCACAAAATGTCAAAAAAGTTCTGGAAACACAACGTTTCACAGGATGTGAGAGTGAGAAACTCTCAGTGAGAGACTGTCACTGATTATGTTTGTTTTGAATAATTCAAGCACATTATTTCATCGTCAGACTCAGAACCATTTCATCCTTATTTTTGCCAAAACCAAGCATCAACATTGTGGTGCCTGCTGCATGTTTCTGTCTCCCTTTTGAATAGCATAACAAGGGCTATTTTTAGGAGAACATACAGGATGCATACAATGCATGACCTTTACAATGCAAAAAATATATGGGATTATGCAGGAAAATATAATGCAATATATCAATATATTTCCATATGGAAAAAAATATCTAGTGTTTATATGTTTTAAATATAATGCAATATAGGCATGGACCATGGCTATATGTTGACATATATAAAAATACATATTCCATGTAAATGTATATAGTACCTATATGACCAATCATAGAGAGAGAGAGAGAAAGAGAGAGAGATGTACTGTACTATACACGTGTGTGTGTGTGTGTGTGTGTGTGTGTGTGCGTGTATATATACATACAATGTTTTATAATATGTTAATATTACAATATATTAATATTACAATATATTAAGCTCTTGAAAACAGAAGAGCTCTTGTAGTATAATGCTGGCAAATGTTGTGCCGAATTGGCTGAGGTTTACTGCTGTTTATTTCAGCATACATTTCTAACAATGTGATACAGACTTCACAGTTAATAAAGTTATATGTGTATATATATATATATATATATATATATATATACACACACACACTATATAAGTAAATTTTTTTGAACAGTAAGATTTTTAACG